TTATTCGATGTTGTTATCGATGTATATTTGTTGATGCCAACGAAATGGTACTTTGACTAACTTGTCTAACTCTCCGCTGTAAAAATATTATTTAGTTTCGAATGAAAGATACATTCGCCAAAAAAAAAAAATTATTATTATTGTTGAAATTGCAAAAAAAAAATTATTCGATGTTATTACCAATGTATATTTGTTGATGCAGACGAAATGGTACTTTGACTAACTTGTCTAACTCTCCATTGCAAAAATATTATTTAATTTCGAATGAAAGATACATTCGCCAAAAAGAAAAAATTATTAGTTATTGTTGAGATTGCAAAAAAAAAAATTATTCGATGTTGTTAACGATGTATTTGTTGATGAAATGGTACATCTACGGATATTCTCATAAACTCAATCTTCGACTAACTTGTCTAACTCTCCACTGAAAAAATTATTATTTAATTTCGAATGAAAGATACATTCAGAAAGAAAAAAAGAAGAAAAGTTATTCGTTGTTGTTATCGGTGGGTTTGTTGGTAGCGACGAAACGGTACACCCGAGGGAGGAAAAAAATTATCCACCAACGATAGGTCGGAACGAGGGTTATCGAATTCGTAGGGTCTAACGTGACCGTGGGTTGATAAAGCACACCTGTTCGGGTGGAAATGTCGGAGCAGTTACCGCGTGCGTCGAAATACCGACCGGAAAGTTAACCCCGCGTGAAACGCGACGACTCCTGAATATTTCAACTTCCCGTCGATCGCTCGAATCCCCGGCAAAACTGCCCAATGCTGTTGCCACGATGCTCGTTAAACGATGCTCGAGTACATACAAATATTAATACATTTCACTTTTGACCTTTTTTTCAACTTCGTGTGCAGAAATCTGGGGGGGAGGGAAAAATCCGAAAGAAAATGGTACCAACGTGCATTGAGAAATGGCACGCAGAATTATTAATCTGTACAATCACAGCCTAACACGTAGTAAGCCATTAGTTGATAAAACACGCACAGCTGAGATAAGATTAACGTAAAGCCTCTATTAAAATATCCTCAATTGCACTTCAGATAACGATGAAGTGGCAAAAACTGTTAATAGGTACCAACCCGCGATAAAAACACCCATTACCACTCCATAAAATTGAGACGTTGCGATGGTAAAGTGCAAATATTCAAGAAAAACATCTGTTGCCATTTTTCTTTACAGCTTACACTTTACATTCGAAAATATGGTGTATAGTAATTATATATATAACGCTATACTACTTAGTGACTACTTACTACGTTACCAACATTCATTAAAATACAAATATATATATATATATATATATATATATATCAAATATATATATA